TTAGAAATACGTCTTTTGGTTGTCTCGTTAAAAACCTTGCAAGGAAAACTCAGTGGGACAAAACCTTGTAAGGGAAAAAGAGTATAACGCGTATTAACTCCCCCTGATGAGAGCATCAATTCACATCCTTGAGCCTTCGCATCCCAATCTTATACACTAGTTTCTTGAAGGTTGACGTCGGTAGAGATTTGGTGAACAAATCAGCCATATTATCACTTGAACGGATCTGTTGCATATTGATATCACCATTCTTTTGAAGATCATGTGTGAAAAATAACTTTGGTGAAATGTGCTTTGTCCTATCCCTTTTTATGAATCCTCCCTTCAACTGGGCTATGCATGCTGCATTGTCTTCATACAAAATTGTGGGTAGTTTGTCACACTTCAAACCACATTTGTCTCGAATAAGGTGTATTATAGACCTCAACCATACACATTCTCGACTTGATTCATGAATAGCAATTATCTCAGCATAATTAGATGAAGTAGCCACGATTGATTGCTTAGTCGATCGCCAAGATATGGCAGTGCCTCCATATGTAAACACATAGCCTGTTTGAGATCGAACCTTTTGTGGTTCATATAAATACCCAACATCGGCATAACCAACAAGATTAAGACTGCAATCATTGCCATAAAATAATACCATATCGGTAGTCCCTTTTAGATACCGCAATATGTGTTTGATTCCATTCCAATGTCTCCTTGTAGGAGCAGAGCTATATTAGACCTTGTTATGTTAGAAAGATACATTAGTGCACCAATTGTACTAAAATATGATACGTCGGGACCAAGAAACTTTTCATTATTTTCATGAGGTCGGAATGGATGTGCTTTATCCATATATAACCGCTTTAAAATTATTTTAGTGTATGCTGATTGATGGACAAAAATTCCATCTTTCATATACTCAATTTGTAGACCAAGACAAAATTTTGTCTTTCTAAGATCTTTCATTTCAAATACTTTCTTTAAATAGTCTACTACTTTAGGAAGCTCCCTAGGAGTTCCAATGATATTTAAATCATCAATATACACGGTGATTATAATAAATTTAGATCCAGATCTTTTTATAAAGACACAAGGACAAATTGAATCATTCTTATACCCTTCTTTCAACAGGTACTCACTTATGCGATTATACCACATACGCCCTGATTGTTTCAATCCGTATAAGGATTTTTGAAGTTTTATTTAATAAATTTCTTGAAAATCTTAATATGCTTCAGAACAATTTAAATCCTTCAATGATTTCCATTATACGCATATCACGTTTTTCTTGTATTGCCAGATTAAAACCTGAAATGGCGACATCCACCACAAGAGAACATGTCTCTATATAATCAATGCCAGGATATTTACAAATCTTCTTGTGACACAAGTCGTCTTTATGTCTATCGACTTGACCTTTTTTTCGCACAAGAACACATTTATACCTCTACTAGCTTTATACTTTCAGGTGATGGGACTATCCGTCCAATTTCATATTTTTCATGTGAAATTAATTTTCATTGCGTATTTTTCATTTGGCCAATCATTTATCTGTCCAAATTTCATGACAGATTTGAGCTCAAGATCCTCGTCAATATTAATAATATTGAGCGCTACATTATATTAACAATATCGTCGACGATTATTTTATATCGGTTCAACTATTACCCAATAAAGACATAACTTATTGAGATCTCTTTATCTTATTATTTTCAGGTACCTTAGTCTCTCCCATGAGGTCTTATGAAGTGTTATGTCGTGGTGCTCTTCTAGAGCACTTGCCTCCTTATTATGACCATCTTGAATATTTGCTCCTCTCCTTCTTCAAGGAGTTTTATCTTTGGAACCGATTAGTCTATTATGCTTTATGCATGCCATGGACTCTATTCATTATGAACTTTATTTTATTTGGAGTATTAGTAGCTGAATATGACATTTAGCTTTGGTTCAGCAAATACGCCTGATAATATTTTGCAAATGAATTATCAATTGAACTTCAAGTTCACATTTTCTCGTACGAGGATCTCGATGTACTCATAATAATTCATTACATGCATTACTTTTTCAGCTGCCCATTTTCTCCCCCTATTGTTGGGATCACCAACACATATCCCTAGCCTTATTTGGGGATCCATCTTTGTGCATTGTGGTGGAATAATTAAATCATATAGCACATTCATATTTCTAGATGGAAATTATTTGGTTCCTGACCCTGAACCGATTGTGATAGGGAGAACTTATCATAACTTGGCTAGATGCGTACAAGTGCTGTTGTATATTAAATAATACATCACATACCAAATTTTATTTTGGCAATTTTGTTCTCATAACCAATGGTTTAGATATAATTGGAGGCATACAATTTCTGCTAAACCAACTTGGATTTAAACCAGTATTATCAAGATAAATCATCATAATTTATATTCTGGAACTGTGCTCTAATAATTTGAGCAATCAATCTTGCAAAAGCCAAACTACAAGTTGATAACAAATGCACATGTGACCATAAAATAGATGCATCTATTAAAATCATATAATAGTAAACGGTCCACATGGAAGGTGACTGGGCCCATATATTTATCACCTTTTATTCGTTCCAGAAATCAAGGGATTCAATCCCTAACCTTAACTGGTATATCATGAGAATAAGCAGCACAAGAGAATTCTTGAAAAATCTTATATTTCTTCAATATATGCCAATGTAATTCTCAATTAATTTTTTTCGTATCATAATTGAACTGAGATGGTCAACCGGTCATACCAACTAATATTTATTTCAGTAAACCTCTAGTTTACTTGTGGCTTGTGATTGCATCATTATGCTTATACTTGTGTAGTACAAATAAAAAAAAAGTCAGGTAACCTTTCATATTTACTCGGTATGATTATAGTAATATAAAGATATTCAATCTTCTTTTCATTTATAGTCTCAATATGCCAACCACTTTGGCTAATATATTTGTAAATCAAAATATTTCTTTTGAGACTTACTACAATATTAATGTCATGAACAATTTCATTCATCCGGGTAGTAACAAATTAATTCTTTCAGAGCTCTTAACTGCTTTTGTACTACAAGATCTTTTGTCACACCATCCATATAATGAATGTCTCCTTCACAAAGAGAATCATATCATAATAATTGTCATGTTCAAAATCATCACAAGCAAAATAATTTCTTGCTTTAATTTTGCTTTTAATAACTTTCATAAGGCATGACAAAATATTTTTGGCGTATCACATGCATGCGACCAATGATATATTCATGTAACTACACAGTAATATTCATTATCTTTCTTTGTCTTAAACCTCCCGTGAGTTGTAGTATTTATCCAACTATGCACAAGTACATTATTATGCATAATCTTTATCATATATATATTTTCACATTCACTTTCAGGAATGAGTATGCAATCTCAATGTTTATCACAAGTCACATTCTCTTCAAAGAATTTCTCCCTTTTTATAATTACCATAGTGATAACTATTATTATTTTGGCCTTTCGCACGCCCACATTCATTGGTCAACCACTTGTCTTTATTTAGACTTATCATGCACTGCTATCACATTCACTTCAAGAATAGAGCAAATCAAGTGGGACAAGCTTCATGCTTTTTCATGAAAATTACATTATTTTTTCTTTAGTTATTATTATTATTATCAATATGGTGCATTAAGACTCAAACCCAATGCCTTACCCATATAAAGGCATGCTAGGCCATAATGCGTTGGAACTTGAATCCAACGTCTTTTCATCAACATAGTGCGTTGGGACTTGAACACATCGTCTTACCCTCAATCTTTGGCATAATAGGCCAAAATTCACTAGGACTTGCACTCGGACCTTTAAAATATTATTATTTCATAATTATAGGCATAAGTAAATTAACTTTCAAGAAGACTTATATAACTATTTCAATCTTGAAATAGTTCCTCAGCAACAAAAATATTAGTTAGGATATATGCCATTTTTTTTTAAAATGATACAATCACTTTTACATTTTAATAAATTAATTAGGGAAAATGTGCAGATAACCTATAACCACTTATATTTCAAAGACTAAGAACTTCACCAAAAAAAATTCAATACGGAGGAATGAGCCTTATGTTTCCAGCAAAAATATTTAAGGCTTAATGCATAACCGTGACTATTATAAATTATAACTATAATGAGTTTATATTGATTGTATATTCGAATGCCAAATTTTGCTTTCAATGAAATACATCATGTTGTGGTAAAAATATTATTACTAAGTTACCTTAATAATTATCTATCATAGTATGTAAAAGGTCAGAACATATATATACATTGGAATATTATCTTTGTCCTATAAGAGATGTAGCAAATAAAGACATACCTTTCCAGTTCTTTATTTCACTTGATATAATTGAAAAAAATATTTTTACTAAACACTGCACATAAAGTTAATACAAAGATATGAAAGTATGAATGGGTTTAGATGGATGTAAAACTTATCTTTGTATTATCATCCAAGACATTTTTCATTGTACTTGATCTCATTGTCTGCTTATAATTTACATAGTCTTGACGTACAAGATCATGAAATGAGCAATTCGTGCTGATAACGTGTTATAAAATAAAAGCAACTTAGTAAAACATGAACAAGACATATTGTTATGAAATAAAAGCAATTTAGTAAAACATGAACAAGAAATGGAGATAGAGAGAAGAAAGAGATTTTCTTCTTCAATTGTGTGTATTTTTCTATCTATTATAAGGCTTTTATATAGGCATGAAAAGTGAAGAAAAATATGTCATTGAATATGTCATTAAGCATAGAAATATGTCATTGAATATGTCATTAATCATTTGAGAAGATCATGAAGGAAGAGTAGACATACACCATAATTTGATTTTTCTTATAACAGTCCTCTTATTATTGGGAATTATTTTTTGGGGGAAGGGGTAGGTATTATGCCAAAAAGGAAAATTACGGGTCAAATCTTATCCAATTCGGACTACCTATCTATTTAGCTCCAGAACCGGGTCAAATCAATTAGCTAGCGTTTTACCCAACCCCAACGTTCCTTTCCCCTCGAAAAGAAAATCGAAGTTTCCAGAATCCAAGCTCACCACTAACCGGAGCTTCGTAGGTTCGTATCGTCCTCTGCGCCGCCGTTTCTTTCGCCGTCACCATTAGTTAACGTTCGGTACCGGTACAGTTGCTTTTGCGGTATATTTTTGTGTCCTTCTTTTTGTACTAAGTTAATTTTAGTTCAGGTATATATGATCTTCTCTATATTTTCTTTTCTCTGGTGTATTATGAAGAATAGGATGTAGAAGTATTTGAATAAAGCAGATCTAACTCACAATATTTGTTCGCCGAAGGAAGAATAGTGCTGTAGGAAGTTAATTTAAATATGGAAATAATAATTTATTTGCTGCATTTTCATTTTGTCTCTGGATTTTGATAATTATGCATACGGCTTGTATTGTCAAGGAAGCGAAGTTAGCGCCTACGTTATGTGCTGCCAAGTCTGGGTAATTTGGTTTATGAGGTTAGGCATGATTGTGATACTGTCAAGTGTAAGACCTATAGAAACCCTAATAGTGTTGGAATGAAACAAACCCAAATAATCGAGATGATTATAGAGGATTCATATGGCCAAAACCTAAGAATCGAGTATGTTACGTAAAGATGGATAGAGAGGAGACGGGAAAGGTAGCAAGGCCTGAAGTAGCCACACCAGCTAATTTGGGGTCGTGGCATAGTTGTTATGTTGTTGAATGTAATTGACCTTCTAAGGGAGCTGAAAACTAGGCAAGCTTGGCGTGGCTCGACTTGGCTATACCATGCTCAAGAGTAATTGACCCTAATATGTTGCTGCTCGATCTTGGCTTAATTGGTGGACGAGGAAATTTATGCATTAGCAACTCAGTTGTTGTATTGGACTAGCAAATTTTATCCAAAATAAAAATAACAGATATCTTCCCACTCAATCCAAACAGCTCTAAGCTACGCTAAAATCATTGAGGTAGCAGCCACACCTTTGAATTAAGGACAACTAATTCAATCAAAATCTCTACTCTTCTTAATGCAAGTAAAAAAGCAATCCTAGATCTGTTACAAGTTTCAGATGAACTACTAAATCCAAAAGCCGTGTGTTCTAAATACGGGATAGCCGTTCCAAAAGGAATTGCGTTCTGAGATAAAAGCTAAGGCGAAATATCTATCCCTACTTTCTTTATATTTCGTTACTTTGACACCATATTCTTGCTGCCAGAGTGAACGTTTGACTTAAAATGATTAAGGCCACAAGAACCTGTAATCAACCTAAAAGAAATAAGAGAGAGAGAGAGATGGAATAGAGATTGGGTTAGAAGGGATGGATACAATGAGAAGTGATGGATCATGGATGAGTTGAGGAGATTGGTGATGATGGGAGGAGAGAGAGAGAAACTAGCAAGAGGCTGAAGTTGAAAATATAGGTCGCTTTATAGATTATATTTGCAAGGCTTAAAAATTTAAATAAGAGAAGAGAAGTAGAAAGGCTCTGTAAGCTCATAAGCCTGTTAACCTGGATTTTTTTCCTGAGCCGAGTTAGCAGATCACAAGCGTGCTCCAACGCTAGACCTTGATATCCAATCTGCATTTGATTTGCCATAGTTACAAACACTGAAGTTTCCTTGTTGACTAACTGAATCTTGCCTTCAATCAGATAGTTTAAGGTGATCTGCCTCGAAACTATAACCAGGCATCTAGCAAACATATATATTTGTGTCATTGCTTGGTTGTTAGGTTGTTCCACACTCAACTTTCTTATCGTGACATGTAACTTGTGGTAATGGTGCTACCACAACTTTCTTATTATATCCTATTACCAATTTACCATATAGTAATGCTAATTTGTGGAGACATCGAAAAAGTGAAGTGATTCATTATATTTTTATGAAGCATGTAAAGTTATTTGATTATCAACTATGCCTTAGAATGTCAGTACAAGCAAAACTTCTATCTCTAATCTCCCTCGTTGTATGTGTTAATTAGAGCGCTGATGACTTGCAGTTCACAGATTTCTTCTTTATACTCCCCTTTAGCCTGCTACCGGTGTACCATGGCTTAGGCTTAGACAAATGGGAAGAAATCACCAATGTTTTTTGTCCCTGCTGGTAGCAGATCCTTGATATCGAAGGTTTTCACTTGCTTCATCGACCACTAAGCCACATCCTTGGTTTCCAACCCCCGTTAGTTTAAATTCAAGTTTGCACACTATTATGAGAAGTAATGACAACATATCCATGTCATGGAAAGTAGGACAAGTTTGTACAACCTCTAAAAATTGTGGCTTGATTTTATGGTTAATTAACACAAGACTCCCTCTGGTCCAATAGTGAGTTTTATGGGTAGCACTATATGATTAAGCTGGGTTTGTTGTTGTTGTTGTTGGGTAGCGCTATAGGGGAATGAAGATATCCAGGTAAAGGTGGGTGCGGCTCCCGTGTAGGACAAGATGCGGGAAGTGAGGCTTAGATTATTCGAGTATGTGAAGAGGAGAAGCCCAGATGTCCCAGTAAGGTGGTGTGAGCTGTTGGCTTTGGTGGGTATGAGAAGAGGTAGAGGGAGGCCAAGGAAATATTGGGGAGAGGTGATCAGGTAGGATATGGCGCGACTTTAGTTTACCGAGGACATGACCCTTGATAGGAGAGTGTGGAGGTTGAGAATTAGGATAAAAGATTAGTAGGTAGTCGAGCGCAGTGTTTTGGATAGCGTGCGGCGACAAATAGCGACGGGGGCCCGTTCACTGAGGCGAGAGGCGCGCAGCGAAGCGCTCGCCTTTTTGATGTGAAGCGACAATTTATACAAAAACATAAAATATTATATACATATAACTAAAAACTCAATAACAATAATATATTAATAAATATATCATTCAAAAATTAAAGACTCAATAGATAGTCATTTCGTTTATTACTATCGGATGACGCCATTTCAACGCTGTTTTATAGAAAAAAAAATTATCAAGTCAATATGCAATTAATTCTACTCTATAAGTATAATACTATAATTCTATAATTGAAAAAATAGAGCAAACAAAAAAAAGGCTACCGCCTCTGGAAAAACAGCAAAGAAAGAAGAAGAAAAACAGAGCAAAAAAAAAGGCTACTGCCTCGGGAAAACAACAAAGAAAGAAGAAGAAAAATGAAGAAACTAACAGCAAAGAAAGAAGAAAAACAGAGCAAAAAGAAAAGGCTGCTGTCTCTGGAAATAATAAGCAAAGAAAGAAGAAGAAAAGCAGAGCAAAAAAAAAAGGCTATTGCCTCTGGAAATCAGCAAAGAAAGAAGAAGAAAAATGAAGAAAGAAGAAAGAGCTGATCATTGAATGATTGAAGAAAGAAGAAAGAAGAAGAAGAAGTCGCTGCTGAAATAGAAGAAGAAGAAAGTAGAAGAAAAAAGGAGGAGAAGAAGAAAAGAAAAGAAAGTAACATACCTGGTGATGATGGCTGATGATGGAAGAAGAAGAAGAAGATCGAAGGTCGCTGAATGAGAAGAAGAAGGTCGCTGCTCGTCGCTGAATGAGAAAAGTGAAACCCAAGCCCTAATTTTGTGTTTTAATATTAATGCTGCCTTTTCTTCCGTTTTATTCAAAAAGCGACGCCTCGCAGCGCCTCTCGCCTCGCAACGCCTCTCGCTACACAGGCAGAGGCGCTCGCCTTTTCTTCCTAGCAACGCAACAGACCAAAATAGCGATGCTATCTCGCCTCGAGTCGCTACACGCTATTAGCGCTGTAGCGCTCGCTATTTACAACACTGGTCGAGCGCTTCTTGATCCGTACAGGGCGTACCCATTAGGGTTAGATTGGTAGTGTGTTCTTATTCTTAAATTGCTAATTTTACATGTTTTCCTATTACCATCCGCGTTGGTTTCTTAGTTTCTTGATGTGGTTGATGCTTGTTGCTACTTCTTCTTTCCATCTATTTTCTGGCTCTTAGTTTGCTGTGATTATCTTTTTGGCATTTCATGTTGGTAATTCTTGTTTCTACTATTTCTTTAGTTCCTTCCTGAGCCAGGGGTCTATCAGAAATAGCCGCTCTACCCTCCCAAGGTAGTGGTAAGGTATGCGTACACACTATACACTTGAGACTCCACTTGTGGGACTTCACTGGGTTGTTGTTGTTGTTGTTGTATACTCCCCTTTAGCCTATTTTGGTAACGAGGGAAAGAAACGAAGGAAAAAAATCAAATGGATGTCAGGCGAGCACATATCCATTGCTTTTGGCATGTTCGCTGCAATCATCGTCACTCGTCTCTTCTTTCTCGTTGGGAACAAGTTCCCGTTCAACTGTAATGGCTTGATTTGTAACCAAGAATTAAGCATGATTGGTCTTGAAGTTAACCATGAAATGCTGAGAATCTGAAAGCCTGTCCATGTAATTTTACTAGATTATGTATTGAGTAGTGTATCATGATCACACAAGAATATCAGTTTGGCTTTTCTTGGCCAATTGATGCTTTGAACTCATTATCCGAGCATCTTCTATCATTTACCAAAATTGTTATTGGCAGTGTTTCTCTGACTGCTCAATCCTTGTTAATAAAGTCAAAAAGTAAGATACATTTGTCAGTATGTTTTACATTTACATCGATTTGCTGCAGTTAAGGTCATGCCTAAAGTAAAAACAAACCGTGTCAAATATCCAGAGGGATGGGAGCTGATTGAACCTACTCTTAGTGAATTACAAGCAAAAATGAGGGAAGGTATTGTCACTTCAGTTAATAAGTCTATTTTAGCGTTAGTTGTTTCCTGTGTAGTCAAAATTATTTTCATCTCCTAATATTTTGTGGAACTTTAATGTTGGTTTGACTGTCTGGTGCAGCTGAGAATGATCCTCATGATGGCAAAAGAAAATGTGAGGCTTTGTGGCCTATTTTCAAAATTGCCCACCAGAAGAGCTGGTATATTTTTGATCTCTACCACAGGAGGAAGGAGATCTCCAAGGAATTATATGAGTTCTGCCTAGATCAAGGATATGCGGATAAAAATTTGATTGCAAAATGGAAAAAAGTATGTTCACCCTCCTTGCTTCAGTTTGTGTGCCACCTTTGCTTTTTAAGTGCACTTGCATGAAGCCATGAACTATCTCTTTTTCATTTGTGGGGAACTCTTGTTCATGTACTGTAACACATGCCAATGCGTAGTTCTCTTTTTTCTTTATGTATTTCTGTTTTGACTTTTGTTTCGTACTTTTTCTCAGTGAGAGGTTCTTTTTTTTGG